ATTCCTAATCTCGAACCTAAGGGGTGAATATACAATAAATTAGAGTATGAAGACATTTTAACATCCAAATTGAAACAAACTATAAAGGTGAATGATAGATTTTGTAATTTTTTTGTCATTTTGTATAATATTTGAAAGGTTTCTTCTATAAAAACTTAGAAATTTTATTTGCATCAATTGATTGATAACTTAAAATCATATAGTATTATGTGAAAAGTCGTAGAAGTAAGTTGTGCAAATTTGATCTTCTCTTGTAGTCTATTTTGTATAGTATTTCTTATGTTCTTAAAAAAAATTATAAAAATAAATGACTTTGTGAAGGTCAACCAATGAATTCGACCAAGGTTGATTTGACGTGGCTTCCCTTTTAGGATTTATTGGATCAAACTCTGTTAAATGTTATAAGAAGAGGAAGTTCCATCTTTAAAATCATTTTTGATGTAGAAGTTAAAATAAGAAAAGAGGTAATAGAAAAGTCTCTTTCATGTAATAAATTGTACATGTTTTAATGCCATTACTAGAAATTTATTTATTTCTTACCATTTTTATTTCAAAAACTTATTCATAAAAAATATTTACAATTTTGTCAATAAAAAGATATTCATAAAAAATAATTGTCAATTTTCTTGCAAAAATATATTATGGGGAATAGTTAGAATTTGTTTGAAAAAAATATTTATAATGAGTTTTTACAAATTTATTAAATATAAAAAAAAATTGCAAATAAATTTTTCAAGAAAATTAGTAAAAATTTAAATTTATTTATTGCAAGTAAGAAGTAAATTTATTTATTTAATTTTTTTTATGTTTTGTCTGGTAAGAAATAAGACTAAATAATTCTCTTAAAAAAAACTTTTCATGTTAATTTTGATTTTAGTTTAGTTTTTTTTAATAAATAAGCAAACAAAATTTTTCTTATATAATAATTTAATTATGTAATAAAATAAAATATACAATAAAGATATTTTTTTGTCAATTTCATATATATATATATATAATTTAAAATTTATACAAAATTTATTGCAATTTTTCTTTAAAAAAATAATTTCACAAGAAATTAATTGTAAATTTAAAATTGAATTTGTTTTTGTGAATATAAAATTATCAAGAAATTATTTATAACTTTAAAATTACTTATGAATTTGAAATTGGTAAAATTTTACATACAAATTTAAATTGGTAAGAAATTATATTGATGTCCACCAGTGTGGTTAAAACTAGAGTCGCGCTCCATTCATACATACCCCTTAATTTTTAAGCTGGGGGCTTATGTTTTGGTATGGGTAGTTTATATACACCCTCATTTCTCAACCCATCGAGACTTATCTTAAGAACAAAATCGTGATAAATTAGACTTTCAAAGTGAACAATACCTTGAATATGAGAAATAACCCTAATGATATTATCATAACGAACATGAGACTAAATATTCTAGTTCCTAAACAAAACATTGACACCCATTGTAGAACCGAAAGTAGAGTCTTGCTCCACTCATACATACTCCTTAGTCCTCGGCTGTGGGTTTATGTTCCGTTACGAGTAGTTTATATACACATTTTTCTCTCAACCCATTGAGGTGCCTTTTAAGGACAAAATCATAATGGACGAGAGTGTTAAAATGGATAATATATCAGATATGAAAATTAATCCTAAATATATTATCATAGCGAACATGAGACAGGTGCACTCTCGTTCCTAGATAGAACATTGACGTCCATTGTGGGATCAAAAGTAGAGTCTCACTTTACTCATATATACTCCTTAGTTATTGACTGATGGCTTATGTTTCGATACAGGTAGTTTATAAACACCCTCGTCTCTCAATCCACTAAAATGTCTTTTAAGGACAAAACAGTGATACACGAAAACTCCAAAACGGATAACGGATACAAGATCAAGACACTCTCTATTAAAAATATAAATTGAAAAAAAAAAATTATATATATATATATATATATATATATATATATATATATTCATAGAGAGTGTATTTTAGTATGATTATGAATTTTATTTTACGATAATATATTAATTACATTAAACTTAAATTCATAATTATATCTAAAGAGAATAAAAAATAAAAAATAAATTAAATTAACTATTATAAGTTCGGATGCGTAACTTATGATAATTATAACTGATAATAATTTCTTAAAAAAGAGTCTTATTGTAATTATAAATTTATTCTTATTTTAAAAAAATAAAAAAATAAAAACACGTTATTATTTTTGAAGAATAATTTTATTTTTTAAAATTTATTATATATATATATATATATATATATATATATATAATAAAAAGAAATACTAATTAACTAAAAGGTTTTAGAAAATTGAAGGTGAAATGATCACATGATAATACAATAATAACGAAATTAAAAATATTAGAGAATGTCTTCAACTTTCTTTCTCTAAATATGTTGATTAGAGGTGTTAGGAAATTATAAAAGACTAAAAGTAAAAATTTCAATGAGAATTATATTCTTATGTAATATCAAAAGTTTGTTTATAAACCTAAAAATAACTAATTCTATCTTCTCAATAGATAATAAAATATATTTATAAACCTAAAAATAGTTAATTTTAAATACATCATGGAGTCCAATTGAAACACATATGTTAAGTTATTAAAGTTGGTAAAACACTTATTACAGACTATTTTTACTGTAGAGGTTTGGTAAGTTATATGAGTCACGGTAGTTCCTTCTTCTCGTGGAGTCGTTATTAATGACATACTGTGCAGACTGAGATCTTGTCCATAGTGCGGTGTTTGGTGGTAGATATGAAAAATGCAGAAAAACGTTACAAGAAAAAAAGAAATTGCAGAAAATGTTGGTGGTTTCATAATCTGCCACGATTCATTATGCTAAACCACTTTGGCATCTTATGATGGTTTCGTATTGATTATTGCATACTATTCAAAAGTTGCGGATATATTACAGCATCGATTCATAGGACCTACTTCAGAAACAGTTGCCACCATCGTTGCTCTGCCTGCATTCATGTCTCACTTTTACCATGAACAACTTAATAGACTCATCATACACTCATACAATCTTTTATTTACGTACTCACGCACCCATGCAACTCATATTTTAAGTACATGTAAATATATATCACATAATAAAATACATGTATTTGTCACCATATACGTAATTCAGAACTATACATTAGCAAAATATATTTACTATGTTATGAATAAAATTGTTATTAAAAAAAAGTTGTAGTGTAATCAAAATTATAATAAACAATTTAAATAAAAATTGAAATAGATAAAAAAAATCAAAAAACGAAAAATGTAATTTGAAATAGTTGAAAGATGATTTTTTTTTTATATTTGATTTAGTTATAAGAGCTAAATACAGTATCCATACTTTCTGAGCTGGATTTCTTGGTTATATAACCGAGTTGTGTTGAACGTTAAGGGCATGGAAGTTTTGTCCTCTATGTTTATTATCTATTAGGTGTATTTTTTTATAATTTATTGAATTGAATAGATTTTTCAAATATTAAAAATTTAAATAAGTCTTAATAAAAATTATAATAAATTTTTAATTTTAAAAAAAATTACCCATTTTAATATATTATAAAAAATTATATGAATCGATAAAAAAATATACAGCAGTAGCAAACATATAATAAAAATTAATACTGTATTAAAATTTAATAAACGTTTTAAAGGTGTTAAAGTTTAATCATGTTCATTCATTATAACTATATATATATATATATATATTTTTTTTTTTTTTTAACTGTACCTTTCATCTTAGTAGAATCAAAAGGATTAAGGTGCAAAGAACTGCGAGAGACATTTTAAAAGCTTTACTCTCCTCATCTGTTTTTTTATCCCTTTCTGGTTATTCTTTATCAGTTTCCTTTATAATAAAAACCAAAATGAGTAAAAGAAAAAAAGAAAAAAAAATATATATATATATATATATATATATCCTTTTCATTATTTTTTTTTCCTGATACGACACATTGACGTGATGGTGATGAGGTACATGTGAGACTGATGACATATTATAATTGCTAACTCACTATTATCAAAATCGCTTAAGCGACAAATAATTATTTCTTGAAAGATATATAAACCAAACAATGTTTCTATGAACTGAAATGGAATAGTATGATATTGACAAGAATTGAAACAGTGATGAACAAGTTAAATGTGGTAATGCTGGATTGAAATAATTAAGTTTAAAACGAGTTCAGAAATTTCGCGAAATACTCAGCACAAATAAACACACGCATTGGCTTCCAAATTTCTAATCAATGACCAGCTTGACAAAGTGATTGCAGAAGCAGAAAAAAACAATAAGCTAAGTTTAAACGCTGGACACAATTTTCATTATTTTTTTTTAAGAAAACAATAAAATACAATGATTTTTTTGGCAAACTAAAATTATTTAGGAGTATACTGATTTAAAATATTTTATGTTTTTTTTTTCAAAATTATTGTTTACTTCTATATAAACTATCTTTTTAACCAATGATTTTTTTTTGTTATTTATGTTAATGAAGAAATTCATTCAATTCAAATAAATCTTAACTAAACCAGAGATTGTCTTTATAACGCTGACTTGTATTGTATAGTACTGTTGAACTATACAGAAACGTGGGAAATGAGAGTAAGATAACGTTAAAATATCCGAACTTCACCACAACTATTTCCATGATTTTCTTTACTTTATGGAGCAGGAGAAAATAGGTGCATAAGGGAAAGATTCCACCACCAGGAAAACGCAGGAGATCCTCAGTAAAAAACTAGGGTAAGAATTGCAAGGTCAGGATTTATTAGTAGTAATTTTCATTCTGAAATGAATATGTATATGTGTTTGAATTTTAGGAAGAGATGCGTAGAAAGATGTGTTTGTTTTGTTGTAAAATTAGGGTGGATGGATACATCCCTTTCGTATGTAGAACCAGCTAGCATAGCAAGTGTGTGACAGGGACAGAAAAAGTTGCACAAAACGACAGTTACACTTGTTAGGGCCGGGAATGGTTAAAACTTGGAACGTTGGAATTGGATGTGGAGGCAGTGAGGAAAATTGAATTGTTGAGTTGAGAAGGGAAGGGAAGAAAAAGGAGAAAAACAAAAAAGGGTACAATCTGTTTCTCGTAGCTGGCGCTTTACCTCCATTATTTTTGGTTTTGGACAGACAAGGGTGTGTTTGGTTCTCTGACTACACTCACTCACTCCTTCTCTCTTCTCAGTGTACCACACGCTGCCACTGCCCACTGCCACTATGGCCCAGCGTCAACTCTCTCCTTTTCCCTACCCTTCCACCTCCTCATTTGTCTTCCACTTTACTCTCCCACTACCACTCCTTTGAATCAAACACAACACTTTCACATTCACAACTTCACAACCAACCCCCCTTCCTCTCTCACTCTCTCTCCTCTCTTACTCTTGTCAAGCAAACCACAATGAATAATAACATCAATAACACTGCACTCTAGTCTGCCACCGCACCTCACCTCACCACCAATGGGTTCAGACGCTGCTGCCACCAAACTCTCCTCTTCTGAGTCCCTCAACGGTTTGAAATTCGGCCAAAAAATCTATTTTGAGGATGTGGGTCTGGCTACTCCAGCCACTTTTACTTCTGCTGCTGCTGGTGTTACTTCTTCTTCCTCCTCTTCTTCAAGGAAAGGAAGAGGTGGGTCTGTTCAACCAACTCAGCCTCCTAGGTGTCAAGTTGAAGGGTGTATGGTAGATCTGAGTGATGCCAAAGCTTACTATTCTAGGCACAAGGTCTGTGGCATGCATTCTAAATCCCCTACAGTCATTGTTGCTGGCCTTCAGCAAAGGTTTTGTCAACAGTGCAGCAGGTCAATAGTTCTTTCATTGTTGTTATTACCTGAAACAAAAAATCCCTTCTTTTTCTTCATCTAGTGCTGTTTTTATATTTTACTATAATAGGTGAGATAAAGTAGGGCAGGGTTTGTTTATTTTATTATAAAAAAATTGCCCTTTTTTCTACGTTTTGGGGTGTCTGTGGTGTAGGTTTGTAGGTAAGATATGTTATCCTGTTTTGTCGGTGCAGTTATAGGATTGTTGCTTGTTTGGAGTTGTTGGTTTAGCTCCTTAATCGTGGTTTTGCTTTTGTTCAAGTTTTGGTGTGATTCTTTATGTCTGTTCTGGTGGAGATGTTTGGTTCAGTAATGATTTGGCTGATTGTGCTCGGTGTACTTTGCTTTTCCCTCTAGCTTAGCTTTAAAGTGCTTATCTGAATGGCTGTCTGATAACGCGTGTGACATATTGTTTTCCTTTTCAGCGAATTGATTCTTGCACCCCAGGTGTGTTTGGTATTAAAAATAATAACTCAGTTTGTACGAAAAAGGTTTGAAGTGGGTGTGCAACTTGTAGTCTGAAACTGAAAACCATACTACACTACACTACTCCGGTGTTTTACCTCTAGCCTTGTGGGGTTGGGGTACGGGCCCTCAATTCTGTATTCATATTCTGTTATCTGATTACTGTTTTGTGTTTGGATCTTATTTGGAGAGATAATCATTGTTTCTTTTTATTTTATTTATAGATTACTGAGAGAGCCTTTGGAAAAAAAATAAAACTATTGTTTCTCATATGTAATTTATTATCAAACATGAGGAAACTTTATAGGTCCGTTATCTGTGATATGAATAAGTGTTTTATCATGTGAAAGCATGTTATTTGTGCTACAAAAGCAATCCCTTTTGACCTCAGTGAACCTAGGGTTGTTAGTTAAGGCTTGCATTATTATCATAATGATAGTTTTCTGCTAATTGGAGTATGAGAGTGGCCACAACTTGCCATTGTGTGGTCATCCATAAAGTGGGTCCTGGTTGTAGATATTGTGAGATTTTATATATCTTAAGCTTGATAGGTTGTCTGATTGTTCACGTATTACCTCCTTGACTGATTACTTCTCCTACTGTGTAGTTTGACTTGTTAACACTTCGTTGAGAATGAGTGCAATTGGTGTTGCTGGATCATGCAATCCTAACCACTCGCTTTGCTTATGATGTGCCTATTCATCTGTTTTTTGGTGCTAGCTGTTTTTGTCACGTTTATATCCATTTCAATTTGACTCGTTTGTGCTACGGGGATGCTTCTGTGCATTCTATGATAGTATTCAATAGGAAGTCTCCGGCTACACGATATGGAGAATATGGGGTCTATTAGTCAATGAATGTGGTTTTATATTGCAGGGATAGCTTTCTAATAGTGGCTGTTCCAAGTATAATAATTTTTGTCTTGTTTTGTCAGAAGTTATACTTTTGACCTGTAGAATTTCTGGCTGAGAAGCAATCTATTTTCCTCAATGAGAACAATCAGAAAATGGGAAAAGAATACTCTTCTGAATATGCTAAGATAAAATCCATGTTACTAGCAATGGTAATGCAAATATATTTTTGAAGATGGACTTTTCTAGCATCCAAAGCATTTTAAATGGTGCTATTGGAGGATCTACATTGTGGTTTGTACCCTGTATTTAAGCTTGCTAACTTTTCTTTTGAATTATTCTGGTGTCTTTCACTAAAGAGTAAAGATAGTGCTACCCCTTTTGGTAATGAAGAAGAGAAAGAACGTTATTGGTATTCTCTTGGTCTTATTTTACGAGTATGTTAAAGCTGAATTCTATGTATCATGGTCCCACACCATGAGCAACGTTTTGAGGATTGTTTCTGCAAACACAAGGTGGCAAGGAATATCTTAGACTCTGCTAATATGCTATCCCATTCAGTGCAAGAGATGCTCACATGATGTGCATCATTTCAAGATGTGAAAATTATGACTGCATCTGATGGAAAAATAACCTGATTCTAGTGTTTATACATATTATATTACGTTCGTTCTTTAATATTTGCAATGATGACTCTATCAAGTCTGTTAGAAATTTCATCTCATCTTTATTTGATGTAACAAGAGATACTTCAATTTGTGGCAACAATACCATGCATGCCATGTTAGGAAACAATAGTCTTGTCATGTTAGCATTTCTTCAATCTTGGCACTTAGTATGCTTGTACTCATTCATCTATCTTTGACTTAAATTGGTATAATTTATATTTGTAAAATCTAATATCATGTTTCATGGCCTTGCCAGATTTCACCAGCTTCCGGAGTTCGATCAAGGAAAAAGAAGTTGCCGCAGGCGACTAGCTGGCCATAATGAACGTCGGAGAAAGCCCCCACCCAGCTCCCTCTTAACCTCTCGCTATGCCAGGCTTTCTTCATCTGTTTTTGGTTAGAACCTATCAGTAAAACATCAGTTTCATGTCTCTCTCAATTTTTCTATAGGGAGCATATTTAGTTTCAGCTCGAGCCATTCCTGGCATTACACATAAAATAAATTCTATTGTCTGACAATTTTTTTAACAGATAATAGTGGCAGGGGTGGCAACTTTCTGATGGAATTGACCTCGCATCCAAAGCTTAGTCTGAGAAATTCACTTCCAACTCCTAGATCATCCGAATTAGCTCCTGGAAATCAAACCTCCACACTTAGCTGGCACGGCAACTCAGAGACACCATCTGACATTTTCTTACAAGGTTCACTGAGTGGGACAAACTTTGCCGCCCCCGGTCATCCTCCAGGGGAAAGTTACACTGGTGTCACTGACTCGAGCTGTGCTCTCTCTCTTCTGTCAAGTCAAACATGGGGTTCTAGAAACACAGCACCAAGTCTTGGGTTGAATAGCATGATAAATTTCAATGGGACACCCATGGCACAACTTACTGCATCATCTCATGGTACATCAATCCATGAACTTCCAAATGCCTCGTGGTGTTTCAAGGGCATTGATTCCGGTAACTGTTCGCCCGAGGTTGTCCCTGATCTAGGTCTGGGTCATATTTCACAGCCTCTCAATAGCCAACTTCCTGGTGAGCTGGATCTGTCTCAACAGGGCAGGAGGCATTACATGGATCTAGAACAGTCTAGGACATATGAATCTGCTGATTGGTCACTTTAATGCACTTTTTTGTTGGGTTTGTAATAACTTATAACACAAACCTGTGCCTACTTGGTTACTTACCAGACTGATAACTATTGCATGTTTTGGTTTGTTTAAATTGATAAGCAAGGTGGGTGGCCTTGCTTCATTTGTGGAACTTTCAGGCTCAATCACTTGAGAGTGTGTTTTGTTAGAGTTTTAGCATAGATTTGGTGTCTTCTGCCATTGTTGTCTCCTCTGGAATTATTTGTGATCAGGAGGACAGTCTCTTTGTTATTTGCTACCACTGCTTGAAGCTATTTGATATTATCTTTTGACTATTTTCAACACAGAGTGTTGCACACATTGCTCACCTAAGAATATACTGAAGAGCGTCGGGTTGAATGACTTGGATAACAAGGCATGTTTGGTTTTCAGTTGGTAGGCCCCAACGAGCATTTCATAAAGTAAAACAAAAAGTTTCTTGTTTGATTTTAGTTGAATTCAGTTGTAAACCGAGTTTGATGTCAATTTTGTTTTGAAACTTAGTTTGAAATGAAAAAGGTATGGTTGTTTATGTAAGATGATGTTCATTTACATGCTCGATATCAATTTTGTTTTGAAACTTAGTTTGAAATGAAAAAGGTATGGTTGTTTATGTAAGATGATGTTCATTTACATGCTCGATATTTATTCCTCGAGTGCATTGTGTTAGGATTTTCTAATTCTATTTCTATTTGAGAATACAAGATATCTTTATTAATTTCCTACATGATTTTAAGGTAGTTTAATAATGTATATAAGCGGAGGCATATCTCCGAGTATTCAAATTGCTGAGAATTTACAACATCATTGGGTCCAAGTTATCAAAAAGACTAGGTTGAATGATAGATTAATTAATTACAAGATTCAAATGATGTAAAATATTACGTAGTTTTCTTACGCTCTTAATTTATTCTAGAAAACAACTATACGGTAACTTTGATTCATGAGAATCTTTTTTTTAATTTTTTTGTTTTTCAATCTCCTTTTTCTAATCTATTTTTTTGTCTTTCTTTCTTTTCTCACGCTTTTTTGATGGTTTACCATGAAAAAACTTTATGACCGAGACAAAACCCTAATTCTTTTTTATTAACCAATATTCATCAAGTTAGTTACCGATACGTTTTTATTTTATTTTATCTTTATTAATAGGTCCTTATATTTTATTAAATCACATTTTAGTCCATCATTGTATTTCACATAAGTCACATAATGAAATGAATTAATTAAATTAATTCTAACATTCTCCCACTTGACTCATGTGATGTCATACGATAATGTGATTTAATACTTATGTCATAATGCGTATTAAAAGATCTTACATAAATTGGTTCTATCATTATTCATAATTAAAGATACAACTATAACAAAAGTCATGACGGTTACATGTCATTCAATCGACATGCTCCCTTCTATATATTATCTTTCTCCTTAATATGACTTTATAATGAGAAGTCCATAATGAGTTCAAACATAATATCATCTCAATAATAATAACATAATTTGTTTTCTTCATCATAATTTGCATGTATATAAATAAAGAAGAAAACACAAATTTCAGAAACTTATACATTAAAGATTTCAGAGTGTCACATAAGCATTAATAATAACATTAACATTTAACATTCACTACTAGTAAACATAATGCCCATATTCACTATATGGCCAACAAACAACTTGGACGGTAATCCTTTCGTTAAAGGATCAGCAATAATAAGATCAGTGCTAATATATTCTATTGACACTCTTCGTTTCTGAACTTCTTCTTTAATGACAAAGTATTTTAATTCCATATGCTTAGCACCTTTGGAATACTTGTCGTTCTTAGAAAAGAAGACTGCTGCAGAATTATCACAATAAATTTTTAGCGGCTTGACAATGCTGTCGACTATTCCAAGTCCTAAAATAAAATTCCGCAACCAATTAGCTTGAACTGTGACCTCAAAGCATGCCACAAATTCAGCTTCCATGGTGGATGCAACAATGACAGAATGCTTCACAATTTTCCATGAAATCGCTCATCCGGCTAAAAGATACACATAACTAAATGTAGACTTTTGTGTATCCATACAACCAGCAAAATCTGGATCTGTATATCCAATCACCTCAAGGTGATCAACTTTCTTATAAGTAAGCATGTGATTCTTTGTTCCTTGTAAGTATCTTAAGATTTTCTTTTGCAGTCTTCCAATGATCCAATCCAGGATTACTCTGGTATCTACCCAGCATATTAACTGCAAAACTAATATCTAGCCTCGTACATGTTTGAGCATACATCAAACTCCAAATAACAGATGCATAAGAGATATTTTCCATCTGTTTCCGCTCCAAGTCATTCTTTGGACATTGCATGAGACTAAATTTGTCTCCTTTCTATATTGGAACGGGAGATGTTGAACTTCTCCATTCTGAATCTCTCTAAAACTTTATTAATATATGCTTTCTAAGACAAACCTAATAGTCCTTATGATCTATCACGGAATATTTCTATTCCTATCACATAGTATACCTCACCCATATATTTTATTTCAAAGTTGTTAGAGAGAAACTTATTAGTCTCACTTAATAGACCAAGATCATTAGTCGCAAGCAAAATATCATCAGCATACAGAATCAGAAATATAAACTTGCTCCCATTGATCTTCACATATATACACCGATCAACAGTGTTTTCCTTAAATCCAAAGGACAAAATAATATCATTGAACTTAAGATACCATTGTCGAGAAGCTTGTTTAAGTCCATATATTGATTTCTTAAGTTTACACACCATGTGCTCTCTTCCTTCTTCAATAAACCCCACCGGTTGATCCATATAAACATCTTCCTCTAAATCTCCATTCAGAAAGGCAGTTTTAACATCCATTTGATGCAACTCAAGATCATAATGAGCTACTAATTCCATGATAATTCTAAAGGAATCTTTCTTAGAAATAGGTGAAAATGTTTCCTTATAATCAATATTATCTTTCTGAGTAAAACCTTTGACAACAAGTCGGGCCTTGTAATGTTCGATATTGCCATGAGAGTCACGCTTAGTCTTAAAGACCCATTTACACCTAACACTCTTGCATCCTTCTGGAAGTTCCACAAGATCCCATACACCATTATGTGTCATTGATTTAAGCTCATCTTTCATAGTATCTAACCATTTGTCAGAATTAACACCATTAATGACGTCTGAAAATGAAACTTGGTCATTATCAATACTTAGGTCATTTTATGACTCTTGTAGATAGACCACGTAATCATTCGAAATATCAAACTTTCTTTTTCTGTGAGATCTTCTTAATACTATTTATTGTGGTTGTTCTATTATCGGCTCATTGTTAATCTCAGGATCATTAATTTTTTATTCTTCTTGATTGTCGTGTGATTCTACAACATGTGGAACAACAATTCTTGAAGAAGATGTACTAATTACAAGGACTTGTACTCTAACTTCCTTAATCTCCACATTTCGTGAAACTTTACTTCCACTGGTTTCACCATTTTCAATGAACCGAACATTTTCAGTTTCAACAATTATTGTACTATGAGTAGGACAGTAAAACATATACCCTTTTGATTTTTCTAGATAACCAATGAAATATCCACTGATTGTTCTTACATCCATTTTCTTTTCTTGTGGATTATAAATTCTTACTTCTGTCTTACAACCCCAAACATGTAGGTGTTTCAAACTGGGTTTTCTTCTTTTCCATAACTCCAAAGGAGTCTTTCGAACCGCTTTACTAGGAACCTTGTTCAACAAATATATGACAATCTTCAAAGCATACATCCACAACGATACAGGTAAACATGAATTACTTAACATGCTCCTAACCATATCCATTAAGGTTCGATTATGTCTTTCAGACATAGCATTTTGCTGCGGTGTGCCTGACATTGTGTATTGAGCAAAAACACCACGCTTCTCAAGGAACTTAGCAAACAGACTAGGGTTTTGTCTACTTTCATCATATCTTCTATAATACTCACCACCTCTATCTGACCTGACAATTTTCACCTTTCTGTCTAATTGCCTCTCCACTTCATTTATATAACATTGTAAGGTATTTACTGCTTGAGATTTCTCATGTAGTAAATAGACATATCCATAACGCGAGAAATCGTTAATGAATGTGATGAAATACTTCTCTTTATTAAAAGAATTTACGTCAAATGGACCACATATATCAGTGTGTATAATTTCAAGAAGTTGAGTGCTTCTTATGGCTCCTTTCTTTGTGTGTTTTGTTTTTTTTTTCCTTTAATACAATCTACACATATATTCAGATAGTAAAATCTAAATCCGAAAAAATTTCATTCTTTATTAATCTTTGCAGTCTTTCATTGGAAATATGTCTCAAACGCTTATGCCACAAGTAAGCAGATCTTTCATCCACCAAACTACGTTTAGTGCCAACATTATGATGTAAGGTCATGAGAGTTTCAGCATATAAATTATCCAAATTTAATTTATATAAACCATCATAAAGTGTATCAGTTCCAATCATACAAGTACGCTTAAATAAACTGAAACAACTATCCAGCAACATCAAACTTAGACAAAGAAACTAAATTTCTAGTGATACTCGGTACATAAAAAGTATCCATAAGGTCTAAGTGATATCTAGTGTCAAGGATCAAACGATAAGTCCTGACAGCTTCCACTGGAACCTTGACTTTATTCCTCATGAAGACGAACTTCTCATTTGGGTTTATGGTTCGGGTTGAAAGGAATCCCTGCATCACATTAGAAACATGAGTCGTACATCCAAAATCAATCCACCAAGTATTATGGGAAACTTCAGTTAAGTTTGACTCAAAACATACGTAAGCACTATGCTCACTTTTCTTTTCGAACCAAGCTTTACGCTTTAAACAGTCCTTCTGGAAATGTCTAGACTTTCCGCAGAAATGACATTTGTCATTTTTCTTCTGAATGTTAGTAGAGGACTTGTTAATCTTTAATGATCATTTACCCTTTTCATGTTTCTTAACAACTTTCTTTTTAGCTCCTTGATTTTTCACGTAATGAATAGAGTGACTTCCTAGGTTCCTGAGTCTAGTCTCCTCCTGGACTAACATATTGTACAATTCATGCACATTCCATTTGTCTTTCATGGTGTTATAATTCTTCTGGAACTGACCATACTCAGACGATAACAAGTTCAAATGAACTGCACAAGAAAATTTTCTTCCACTGCTATTCCAAGAGATTTGAGTCTTGCTGCGATATTTGTCATTTCGATTACATGTTCATGCATATTACTAGAACCATCAAACTTCATGGTGGTCAACGTACTCATCAATGTCCCAGCGAGAGATTTGTCAACAGTTTGAGAGCGATTTTCCACAAATTTCATAAACTCTTTCGCATCCTCATTTTTAGGAAGAGCAGACTTAATATTGCTTGTTATACTCATTCGCATAAACATAAGACTAAGTTTGTTTGATCTTTCCCAAACTCTATAATGAGTTTTCTCTTCATTTCTACTAACATCAGTGATAGCAGCTGGTTTTTCAACTTGGAAAGCCAAATCAAGATCCAACACACCTAAGTGAAATTGGACTTGTTCACTTCAATCAGAGAAATTTAATCCATTAAAGACTGGAACAGACGAAGAAAGCGAATGTAGAGCTACAGAAACAGATACTACAATTAACACATGCCTAACATTAACGCTTTGAGTCATAAAAATTAAACATAAATACAGATTCAAATATAAATAACCATTCTATGCATACTAATATTTTCCTTTGGGAGATCCACTAATACACAAACATAATTATGCTAATCATTTTATAACATTAATGATAGTTAAAATATGCATCAACTAAAATCACCTAACACCTTTGAGTATTTAAATAAAACTAGTGACGCACACAAAATTATCTACTTTCATGTTCATTAATTATAATAATAACTAATCAACCTTTGGACGATCCTGAAATGCATTATAATAATGAACTTCAATTAACCCATAAATCAATTATTCATAAGTTTAGCGTTCATAATATGGGTAATTGAAATAAAATCATTAATATTTTGAAATAAAAATAACCTTAAAATTTTGGCCACTTTGATAACTAACAAAATTTATCATGTTTAATTTCAAATAAATAACATCTTTAATTGCTATTAACCATTCATAACATTTTTCATTAATTAATTATATATATATATATATATATATATATATATATATATATATGGAAGTGCTTCAACTTTGATAGGCGCAAAAGCCAAGATCCTCTGTGATATTTTGACCAAGAGTACAAACGGGTGATTACGTGCATGGAGTCCCTCGCGGACGGGGATCCAATGGTCCCTTGACTACCATCATCCAAACACATCACCGTATTCATCCATTTCAACTGGACCCCATTAACCACTTCCGCTTTCATCATCCTTGACATCTCCCGTGATAGCCTTGCTCTGATATTCACATTTCATTAATATAAAGTCATTTGATGAAAATTAATGTACGAAGCCATTCACTTATTCATATTTGCAATTCAATTGCACATTGGGCTACATATTAATTCCATACTGGTGATATTGGTGCACGTGAATTAATCTCAATTGCACATTTCATAATCCTATGTGTACGTTTTAAATTAATCGCAGCGGAAATCAATGAAAAGTGAGATATCATGCTATTTTTAAATCGATTGATAGATACTCTTATCCTTTCTTGATCCATAAATTAGGATTTATCCCTTTATTTAATTTTGAAAAAATAAATTTGAGAATAAATTAGAGTTTATGTTAATCTGATAGATAAACCCCTAAATTCATAATTAGGATTTATCTTAATTTGGGAAAAACTTTCATAAAAGAAAAATCATAAATCTAATAACCCGACTCTGATACCACATGTAAAATATTATGTAGTTTTATTACGCTCTTAATTCATTCTAGAAAACTACGTACAAGATCTTTAAATTATTGATTTTCACAATATAACTACATCAATACATGAATTATAGTAAGAAGACTAACCTTAATTCATGAGAATCTCTTCTTTAATTTTTTTGTTCTTCAATCTCATCTTCTCAATCTATCTCTTTCGTCTTTCTTTCTCTTCTCACGCTTTCTTGATAGTTTACCGTGAAAAAACCTTATGACTAAAGACAAAACCTAATTTCTTTTTATTAACCAATGTCCATCAAGTTAGTTATCATAAATTTTTATTTTATTTTATTTTATGTTTATTTTATCTTCACATAGTAACTAATAGATCCTTATATTTTATTAAATCATATTTGAATGCATTATTATATTTCACATGAGGTACATAATGGAATGAATTAATTAAATTAATTCTAACAAGTTAAAGCATAAGAGTGTAAGTCATTAAAGATATTATTAGTGTTGTTTATTGGAAGTTAAAATAATTCTTTATTTAAATCGTAATTATCTTGATGAAAAGATATTCTTCTTGTATTATTTCTCATATTTCCTTCATAGTTATTACAATAGAGTAACCTTCATACTACATGAAAAACCAAAATTATGGAAATTTGAAAACGATGTTATCCCCTGCAAATTTACGAGGAGCATGATAGTAAAGTTAAAAAAAAGGGACAAAGGATCCTAAAATAGAATGAAACAAAAGGGGTGGCCATGAAAGTAACACAAATTATGGAAATTTCATTGATGTTATCATGATGAGTGAAGACATTGTTTTCAGAATTTTTGAAAACTCGGGGTTTTTTTTTATAGTATGTGTGTCCGTGAACCAATGATATTCATATTCCCCTAAGTAGTTTAGGTTGAGCTAGGTGGAAGGAGTGTTGGGAGCACGTGCTGAGGTTGGTTGTTGGGTGTAGTGATGCTTTGGTGGTTGTGGTACATGATGTGTTGGCCCTTATAAATGATTTTGTCTAACGTCATTTTTTTCAAGACTTATTTTATCTAGTTATGAATTGTTATTTTTATATTAAATTGGTTTTAGTTCCCTTCATCATTATAGTTATGGATGTGAAATTGATATAATTATGTTTATTGAGGTGATGATAGTTTTAAAAAATAAATTAAAATCTACCTAAAAATAATAAAAATAAAATAAATATTACGACAAAATAAATCATTAAGCAATTCCTTTTATATATAGGCCCACTTCCCCACAAAGCCCAAACATAATTATTCGAATTGCGCTGAAAAAAGGTTACGCTGAGTTGTGAAAGCCCAGTGGACTTTGTCAGATTAGTAGGCCCGATGACTTGTTTCGCGCCAAAACTAAATATAACGGACTCGGCTATGTGGACCGCATCTCACCAAGGAAACAGTTGAAGACACCATCCTCACTGTCACTATAGTTCGATGCAATCTTGATTCTTTTTTTCTTCCCTTGAAATTTTCTCTTCCATTAAGTTCTGTTCCGAATTCCATTAACCAGAAACAAATTGTATGCATGTTTGAGAACTTAGAAAGAACGCGAAAACGCCACTTGATATTTCTGTGTTTGTGTGTTTTCCGGTACTCAGGAAAATGTTTCGCCACTTCTTCTATGTGCATCTTAATCTCTTTGTACTATCATTTTTGGTTTCTCAGGGCTTGGCGTTCACGCATCCACACGAAGGTTACTCGTAAAAGATAACTGTTTATTGGTTCTTCTGTTTCCTAGATTTTTTTATTGGAAACAAATTTGAAAAATTAATCCGTTACCTTCATATATTAAGCATTTGGTTGCTACCAAAATTTTTACTGGCTATGTTATAGACTTTCTTGTTTTCACTGTTGCTGAATCTAGTTTGATAATCTAGATTTGTAATTATGTGTCATCTTAATGAATTGTAAAACTTGGTTTCATGCTTGTGGCTAAGAACTGAGCTGGTTTAACGTTTCACTTTCACAGTTTTTTTTTTTTTTTTTTTATTATAAAACTATGATGAATGTTAGCATTATTTTTGGCACTTAGCTTTCTTCGCTTTCTCTCAACTATATATTTGTTGTACTTTTTTTTGGGTAAACAGTGTCAGCTCTCCAGGATCTATATAGGACCTTTAACTATCCACCAGTGCTCAAAGGATGGAATGGTAGCGATCCTTGTGGAGAGTCTTGGACAGGAGTTGCTTGTTCTGGGCCATCAGTTATACAGCTGTAATACACAAAGTTCTCTGATTATATTTCCTATTTGGTCATAGTTAATATCACTAATAGTTATTATTAGTAATTCTCTCTGTCGACATGCAGAAAACTTCAAGGATTAAACCTCAGTGGGTATATTGGAAGCCTGCTATATAATATACCCAACTTGAAGCAACTGTGAGTGTTTGTATGGCATCATTAGGCTCTTACTAGGATAGTTTATTGTCAAATCTGCTATTTATTTATTTCCAGGTTTTGATTTCTGTAGTGATGTCAGTTCAAATAACATAGAGGGCGAAATACCATTCGGTTTACCCCCCAATGTCACATATATGTAAGTCAGCTTCTCTTCTTCACGTTGTTCCCGCAAAATTCAATTTTATGCTTGTGATAAGCATGCATGTATATATGTATTTTATAAATAAAATAAAGCTTACACTATTGCAGCAATTTGAACCAAATATCCCACAATCATTCAGAGTTGTAAAAATCTATGACATCTGAGCTACATCGGAGTAAAATGGAGTTTCGTTCGTCGGAAAGTTACCACGTTTGCAATTTAGTCCTGAGGAAAATTATGTATTTTATTCAGTCTTTAAATTATCCGCACCTTTTTTTAAGTTACTGGGCGTCAGAAATAATAAAAGGAGTGACATGAAAAGGGATTTGAATGATTTAGGTACTAAATCATACAACAAATTTAAAAACGGGTTTGGTAGAGATGGTAATACAAGGAAATATGCTTAACTAGAAAATTAGTTAAAGTTTATTCTTCACATTTTCTCTTCTCTTAAGCATGGTAAAGTGATCGAGCTTTACTAATGATTGTTGAAATCATTATTATTAGTATCTTGTCTTGCAGGAATTTAAGCCACAATTTACTACATGGACCCATTGGTGATGTATTTACGGGTTTAGATAATCTCAAAGAAATGTATGTCCTCTATTCCTGGTCTTACCTACCTTTGGATATGTACAAAATGAATAAGCAATTCAACAACAATCAAATTTCAGGTACTTGAAAGTTGAAGCCTTCAAGATCCGCGAGAAAGAACCTTTGAATACAACATAAACTTTCCTAATATTTTAATATTTGTGATAGATCAAGTTTTATGTGTAAAACTACAACTACATATTAAGTAAAAGTAAATAAATAAAACAAAAATACAGATTGCAAGTCCTCTTGACTGCTTTCTTATGCAGACAAATGACAGTTCAGCAGCGCCAGAGAAACATGGCTGCTTATAAAAATATAAAAAACTTAGGTTAACTGAAGTCAAGCATTATGAACGATAATACGATAAAATGAAAATGAACCTGATGGAGTTGTGAGAAAGTGAGACAACCAAATGGAAACAGTTTGATTCTTATGCTGTCAGAGAAATGCTAGAAATTTTTCATTACACTTTTTTTGGGTGAAATTCACTTTTAAATAGGAAGTGGAACTCATTAAATACGGAGTAGGACTCATAAATTTTACTCTCTAAAAAAAAGGTGTAAAGATAACATTCTTCCTTGTTCACATTGCATTAATTGGAAACTCATAAAGGATGATTTCCTTTCCTCAGGGACCTTTCGTACAATAATTTCTCAGGAGATCTACCGTATTCATTTGGTTCCTTAAGAAACCTTGCCAGATTGTAAGAAATCTTGCCTTACTAAATTTTCTAAACGTGATTTTTGTTTCATCATATACGCAAAGGAAGAATTATACTTGATTAGGGTCTGTTTTCTTATCTATAGAATGGTGCTTATGTACAGGTTCCTCCAGAATAACAGGTTCACCGGATCAGTCGCTTACTTGGCTGAACTTCCACTGACAGATTTGTAGGGTTGTCATTCACATTTTCCCAATGTATATTTTCAGTTCTATTACTTGCTCATTTGCCTTTATTGCCAGGAACATTCAAGGTAATCTGTTTAGTGGCCTTCTTCCGCAGCATTTTCAATCTATACTGAATTTATGGTAAGTGAAAACTATTTCAAGTGTTGATCATCTCTAGTTTCTTGCTTCAGATTGAAATAATGAACGCAAAACATTGAGTAGTCACCCTCTATACCTTCACTTAGGATTGGAGAGAATAAATTCCATGTGGCCGACAACTCTCCTCCCTGGACATTTCCTCTGGATACTGTATCAGTTGAGCAGAACACTAGTAGCCCACCCACAACTCAGGCAAATGCCATAAAGAATTATTCTCCTCCCAGAGTAAGTGAGGCTCCTCCCGGAGTTAATGAGGCTCATCCCAGGGTAAATGAGGCTCCTCCCAGAGTAAGTGAGGCTCTTCCCAGAGTACATATGGCTCCTGTCAGAGTAACTAAGCACAAGAAGAAACATGTTGGTGGAGGAATAGCATTTATGATTGGTGGAGGAACACTGATGGCCACAGGGGTGGCTCTCTTTTTTGCAATCCGTTTTAATAAACTTCGTGTGCAGAGCCCGAACTTGAAGAGCTCAGAAAGCAACCATAGCTCATTGCATTCTTATCCGACCAGTGCAACCATAGGTAATTCACATAGAAATACATATGGACTGTGAGGCCCTTTATATTCCATTCGTTATGGTTGCAAACTGAGGTGTGACCGTAAGAAAATCTTGATCTTATTGAAAATTCACTTCTAGAATGAACAAATACCTCTCTGGGTTAGTATACCATCCATTGAGTATTTATTTGAATTCGTTTATATCGTTAACCATGCTTATTTTTTCCCTCTGGTGATAGGGGTATCTTCTACCGCACTCGAGGAAAGTCCACACATTCCTTCATTTAATTCTGCACCCCTTCTGGGTCCTGTGAGATTGCCTTCCACGAACCATAATGATACAGAGGAACCATCCAGTAAAAGTTTTTCTAGAAGAGGCAGATCCACTGGAAGAATGAAAATTTACACAGTGGCGGAGCTTGAGTTAGCCACTAATTGCTTCAGTGAAGCCAACATTCTGGGAGAGGGATCTCTTGGCCCTGTTTATAGAGCTAAATTTCCGGATGACAGAGTACAATCTGAATCTGTCTTTTAAATACTAACTTATTTTTATCAAGTTCAGTTTTCAAATTGCTGCTTTCAAACCATTTAACGTGTTTTTACTTTTTCTGTTTCGTCGAAGATTTTGGCCGTGAAGAAGATTAACATCGCGGGCATGTCTTTCAGAGAAGAGGAAAAGCTCATGGATGTCATTTGCAGGGTTTCCCGACTGAAGCACCCCAACATCGTAGCACTCAATGGTTACTGTATGGAGAAAGGAAAGGGTCTATTTGTGTACGATTATGTTGGAAATGTCACTCTACATGACGCTCTTCATAGTGAGGCATGCAAACCTCTGTCATGGGTTCACCGTCTCCAGATTGCTCTAGGTGTTGCTAAGGCTCTGGAGTAAGTTCCATTTTCCAACCCAAATTTGTTACTCGTAATTGTAAAGTAGCGTCTTGGAACTGGGTTTCTGGCCATTACGTATCTCAACTCTTGTACCTCACGCAAATATTTCCAGCTATTTGCACTCAGCGTTCTGCCCTCCTGTGGCCCATGGCAATTTGAAGGCTGCCAATATTCTACTGGATGAAAATTTGATGCCTCATGTTTGTGACTGTAGCTTGGTTATATTGAGACAACTGAATATCAATCAAATTGAAATTCCGGTTAGTCATTGCTAAGGTTCTAGTTGCTGAAGTTATTCCTAAAATTGAGCCATTGTTGATAACTCATTGATTGATTATAGTTATCTTTGCTAATGCTAATGCTCACACTCACACCTTACACCTGCTTTATCTTTTGGTTGGTTTTAAGTTCTCACAGAATACATTCTGTTTCAAAATTAAAACCAAATGAACAACAAATGTTTGATAATAAGAGTATCCGCTCTTTTTATTGTTTGACTGTTACTATAATTTTTTGAGGAATAATGATGGTATGTTCTAAGTTATAGTAGCTAAAAGCAGCTTAAACTTTCTAAACTAGCTGTTCCAAATGAATCAGAAGTTTGTTAACAATCTTCGTTAGTATGCCCATTGCAGGCATAGATTCACTGATCGCTTTGGTGACTATTGGAAACAGGCTAATGAGATTAATATGGAAGAGATGGGCTACGTTGCACCAGATCATGGCCAACCAGGAACCAGCAGCAGAAAGGGAGACGTATTTGCCTTTGGGGTATTGCTTCTCGAACTGTTAACAGGAAAGAAACCTTTCGATAGGTACGATTTTGTTTTCAATATCTTGCCCTGTTCTTTTTGTTTTAACTTTCCGCTCACTCACCCAGCACATAGGTTGTTTAAATGAATGATGGACCCTTTATTCCATTTTGTTTCAACTCAGAGTCAGGCCAAAGGAGGAGCAATATCTGGTGAAATGGGCTCCGGCCATGCTTCCTGATAGAGAGAGTTTGGAACAGCTGGTGGATCCCCGCATGAAAAGAACATTTTCATCCAAGGCTCTTTCTCGTTATGCTGATATCATCTCCCCCTGTATACAGGTATTAACTACTAAATTTTAAAGCTAAACTTGAAATTACTCAAGGGTTGCATGTTGCCATTTTGGTTCTTGCATGAAATCTGTCTGTCTTTCTTACGACAGCCTGTAAGGAAACTCCGTCCTGCAATGAGCGAAGTTATGCAGTCTCTTGAATCTTTATACCAAAAGTTCGACATTGATAAGAGCGATGTAGCAGATGGTACTGAAGTTGATCCATTTGAGAGGTCTTTCCACTCAACCAACATATGCTTTTTGGGTTCTCCCGCCGCAGTGAGCCATGCATCAACCTGATGCACAACATTGGTGCGAGTGTGATTTGTGTTGCGGCATACTTTCAATTCCATCTGCGTGATATTAACAGACTAGAAATCTTAGGTTGGTTTCTGTCGTGGAATTTTTCTCTTGTAAACTGCTTTTGGTCCGTCCGGACAGACTGACTACATGAATTGGCTCGAGTTGCACGTGGAAACTGTAAACTCATCCAAAGTTTTTTCAACTCGCTTGGTTTATCATAATATCTTACATTAAAAACAAAATAAAATAAAAAACAAAAAATATGACAATTTTTTATGGCTCTAAGTAACTAAAAAAATTGTAAAAAAGGTTTGTATGTTCAGTTAACAATTAAAATTGTAATTATAAGGTATACATATATATTAAACTACTGAAGATTTTGTAAAGAAAATTTTGAAATTTAGTTTAGAAATATAAATTAAAGATGATGATAAATTGTAAGGTTTAAGTGATAAGAAGATGAAGATAAAAAAGTGAATTTTGTTGATAGAGAAATCTTTAGTTAAATATAACAATGATGCATACTTAAAAATAAATAAGAAAGTTAATATCCAAAATGATGATTGAAAGATTATTCTTTAAATTATATATTTTTATGTTCATACCAAATTATTTTTATTTCTTTTAACTATTTTTTTATAGGATTTGAAAATTTTGTTAGAATTTTTTTTTCAGATTGTTTTTATTTGTGACAAGTGTGCAATGAAATATGGAATTTGTCCTTAAAAAAGAGATGAGTGCAATCAAGTTATGATCTCGTATCATTGTACCGGAGGTAATGTTTTACAATATTTTTCCTTTATTCAAAGGATTATGTATTTGATAAGTTTGAGATAGAAATGTTATTTTGAGTTGGGTAATCAATTTATTGGGTGGATATTAATTAAGTTAAAAGAAATAAGAATTTTTTTTTTGGGCTATTGACTCATTATAGGATTATCTTTATTTGTATTTGAGTCCTTTAATACACAAAGAGAATAGAAGACAAAAAAAAAAAATAGAGAAGATGCAGAAAGAAACCATCACATGAATAGGAGAAGAAAGAATTATTTAGGGTAACTTGGTGCAGAAAAGGAGAAGAAGTTTTTTTGTTCTCAATGTTATTCAGGGTAACTCAATTCAGAAAAGTCAGCTTAAAGAAGAGGCGCAGAAAAGTTAGTGCAGAGGTTCTTTATTATTTTTTAGATACCTATTAGAATTATATATTATCTACATTATTAATAAAGAGAGAGTGTTTTGTTGATCTTTGATGACTCGAAGAGAACTTTATTGTATCCATTAATTATTATTAGTGGAAGTTTTTGCCAGACTAGATCTCATAGATTTTTACTTTTGAGTTTTTCCACGTTAAAATCTGATATCTTTTTATTGTTTGATATTCTATTTTTGGTGTACGCTATTATTTATCTGTTATTTAATATTTTCGGAGCCTACTTTAATTATACGAGAAAAATGAATTTTTGGATTTTGCTATCTCCCCCCAACAACGTTGTAGGTGATACTTGTCTTTCTTCACCATGCAGAGAAAATGACATACAAGAAAACTTTGCCAAACATTGTGTGGATTAACTAATTTCATGATCTTTCCTTAATGATTTTATTAGACTTATACAATTTATAGATTTAAAATGTATGATTTGGTTTTTAATGTTGCTCTGTTTGTTGTGAAAGATGATTGTTTACTTATGAATTCCCAACTCAGAATAACTTTTATTGATAACAATTTGTTTAGCAATTCGTTCACAATAGAACCAATAGTGGTAAGAATCGTGCTGCTTCAAAATGGAAGAGCAAGCCACCAGTGAAGCTCTACTCGTGTGTCACATTATTAGCCAACATAGATATTATTAGAAATGGGAAATGTATCAATATGTTATCTTATTTAGAAAACTAGTATGATATATATTAAATATGGATGCAAACATATCCACATTTTTTAATATAATTACAGTTAAACATAATATTCTAATATATGATAAAATATTTGTCAATATGATTTACAAAGAAAATATTCAATTTTTTTTACCTAACGCTACTGTTGCAGGTAGCATCAATTGTCCTGTGACGAAGGTCGGTGGGTCGAGTCACAATTGAATCGTGGCGCTTAGGTCGTTAAAGTAAAAAGAGTTGCGGCTCGACTAATGGCTATAGCTTTTGGCCTAGTGGTAAGCGCTCGATCCTAACAGCCTACAACGGAAATATTTGCCAATTGAATATGAGTGGGCCATGAGAATTTCATTTAGTATAAAATATAATCAATTTTAATATATTTTATATGTTATAAACAAGATTGACAATAACAAGAAGAGGTGTTTGACTATCACAATAATAAAGTTTTATAGGATGTGAATGTTAGTATTATGGTGCTTGATTTAGTCCCACATCGATTAGGATTGTGAGATGAGGTTCTCTATTTTGTTATATAAGCAACCCTATGTAAAGTTTGAGATACACATAGAAATAAAAATACTTCCTAGTGTAGTCGTGGACGTAGGCATACATATTTTAGCCGAACCACGTTAAAATTCTTGTGTCGTTTATTTTTCTCTCCTTCATTCTTTCCTTTATTATTGTCTTGTTCCTAACAATTGGTATCAAGAGCCAATTTTCTTAGTATGCTCTGTGGTTGCAGCTTTGTCTCGATCTTCCACATCGAAAAGATTTGGTCTTTTTTCTTGGGAATCTCAGCTTAGAGAAGCAGTGGGAGCTTTCTTCGAAAGCAGTGAGAGCAATGGCATTGGAAGAAGGAAAGGTGAGGATCGAGAAGTTCGATGGCAGTGACTTCGGGTTCTGGAAGATGCAGATGGAAGATTATCTCGTATCGGAAGAAGTTGTATCTACCCTTGACAGGCAGTAAGCCAACCGACATGGAGCAGATCGAATGGGAGTTGTTAGATCGGCAGACGCTTGGTGTGATCCGGCCGACATTAGCCAAGAATGTTGCGTTCAACATCATGAACGAAAAGACAACCGTAGATTTGATGCAGGCGTTGTCAAATATGTATGAGAAGCCCTCTGCAGCCAATAAAGTGCATTTGATTCGCAGGCTAGTCAACCTCAAAATGGGTGAAGGTAACTCGGTTACTAATCATATTAGTGAATTTAATGCAATTATTGCGCAGTTGACATCAGTGCAGTATAATATTTGATGATGAGGTGAAAGCATTAATTTTATTATCATCTCTACCTGAAAGTTGGGGTGCAACCGTTATCGCAGTAAGTAATTCTGCAAGCAATAACAAGTTGAAGCTTGATAACATCCGTGACTTGATCTTAAGCGAAGATGTTCGCAGAAAAAATTCAGTAGAATCTTTCAGTTCTAATTCAGGTTCAGCATTGAGTACTGAAACTAGAGGAAGAAGTCGCCAGAAAGGTCGTAATCAAGGCCGAGGCAGATCAAAATCCAGAGGGAGATCACAAGCAAAAGTCCGGAATGATATCACTTGTTGGAATTGTCAGAAAAAGGGCCACTTTTCAAATCAGTGTAGGGCTCCAAAGAAGGACAACAACAACAACAAGAAGCAAGATGATGATCAATCAGCAAATGCAGCAACTGATGAAGTTGAAGATGCACTGTTATGTAGTTTAGATAATTCTATTGACTCATGGATTATGGACTCAGGTGCGTCATTTCATACTACACCTTCCTTAGAACTATTATCTAACTATGTTTCTGGAAAGTTTGGGAAGGTCTACCTTGCAGATGGAAAATCTCTTGATATCATAGGAAGAGGTGATATTAACATCAGAACCTCTAATGGAAACGTGTGGACTTTGAATAATGTCAGACATATTCCAACCTTAAAGAGAAACTTAATATCTATAGGGCAGTTGGATGATGAGGGACATTACACCACTTTTGGAGATGGACATTGGAAGGTAATGAAAGGTAATCTTGTTGTTGCTCGTGGAAAGAAGCAAGGATCTCTCTACATGATTGCAGATGAGGATATGATATCAGTTGCAGAAGTTGGCAACAATTCCTCCTTATGGCATCAGAGGCTTGGGCATATGAGTGAGAAAGGAATGAAGCTCATGATATCAAAAGGTAAAATACCTAACGTGAAGCATGTTGACGTTGGACCTTGCGAACATTGTATCTTTGGAAAGCAGAAAAAGGTTAGCTTCTCAAAAACAAGTAAGTCGTCTAAAGTTGAAAGACTAGAACTAGTGCATACAGATGTTTGGGGGCCAGCTTCAGTGAAATCCCTTGGAGGTTCACAATATTATGTAACCTTCATTGATGACTCTACAAGAAAGGTATGGGTTTATTTTCTTAAAAATAAATCTGATGTGTTTTCTGTGTTTAAAAGGTGGAAAAAGGAGGTTGAGACTCAAACAGGTTTAAAGGTCAAATGTTTGAAGTCTGATAATGGTGGAGAATATGACAGTAGTCAATTCAAGGAGTTTTGTTCAGAGAATGGGATCAGAATGATCAAGACAGTTCCAGGAACACCAGAACAAAACGGTGTGGCAGAAAGAATGAACAGAACCTTGAATGAGAGAGCAAGATGTATGAGAATCCAGTCAGGATTACCCAAGGTATTTTGGGCAGATGCAATAAACACAGCAGCCTATCTCATAAACAGAGGACCATCAGTTCCTTTAGACTATAAGTTACCTGAAGAAGTATGGTCTGGAAAAGAGGTAAATCTTTCACATCTGAAAGTTTTTGGTTGTGCTTCATATGTTATGTTAGACTCTAATAGTAGAGATAAATTGGACCCTAAGGCAAAACGTTGTTATTTCATTGGTTATGGATCTGACATGTTTGGCTACAGGTTTTGGGATGACCAAAACAAGAAAATTATCAGAAGTAGAAATGTTACTTTTAATGAAAACATGTTCTATAGAGACAGGATTGCAGAATCTGCAAATGTAAATAAACAGCTAGAGCAAGTATCATTAGAAGAAATTTCAGAAAGTGATGTAGTCAACCGAAGGCAGAATATACAAGTAGAGCCTATGTCAGAGCCTGAGACAGAACCTGAACAAAT